ATTTCTTCTTTTTAATATTTCTTAATAAAGCAATTTTTTGTACCAATAAAATTTTATTTATAATAAATAATTTTTAATGATAAGAAAATTTGATCATATGATAATTATTTACTATTAATCAAAAATAATGAAACCTCATAAGCTTGTAATTGTTTTGATAATTAATTTTTTTACAATAAAATTTTTGAAAAATTTTTTCAAAAAAAAATGAAAAAATTATGAAATGTCACAAAATTAATGTAATAAATTTAATTTAATTACTTTGATACTAATCAATAATAAATTAAACTTTAGTAAAATAATCCATCTTTATTTTATATCAGCATCACTGAGCATAAAGTATATTTAATAATTTTTTTAATAATAAAAAGTGATGAAATTTATTTTTTCTTTATTAAAAAATGTTTTCTCAAAATCAACAAGAATAACAAGAAACCCAAGAACATAAAAACATTGCTTATTTCTCTTTAAACACAAGACCTTTAATTTTAAAATGTTTAATTGAAAATATGGAAATCAAATTAATAAATATAAATGACAAAATGTTCAAACTAAAATAAATAAAACACTTCATCTTACTTTTAATATTATTATTATTTTTCTTTTACTAAATATATTTTTGAACAATTTATACAATGAATCAATCATCCTTCTTTATAATTTGAATATGTTAAAATTTCAATTTCATGAAATAAATCAATTATTTTATTTTTATAATCAACAATTATTATATAATTGTTGATATGATAGTAATCAAAAATTTCTTGATTTTAGTTTGTTAAATAATATTTGAAAAATTTATTAGCATTTTGAAATTGCATATTATAATCTGAAAATAATAATATATTTTGTTCAAAACATTGTTCATATATCTTTTCAAAATCATTATTTTCAAGTTTACTCATTACAACAGATATTTTTGTTAATGAAAAAAATTTGAAGGTATTTAAATATTTATTTATATAAAAAAATAATATATATAATAATAAAATAATAATATAATTAATTATTTATTTTAATTTTTTTTGGTTTAATAATATTAGTTTCTGTATCTTTATGTTTACCTGATTGATATTTTAGATAAATTTTAATCTTTTCTTGTAACTTTTTATGTAAGACATTAATATTTTTAGGAATTATAATATTATTAGATAAATTTGCTTCCCAGTATTTGTTATAAACCCCAAAACTATTTTCTTCATAATTTATATCACAAATTATGCCTTCCAAAATCCAATTCATATCAACTTGATATTTTAAATATATATTTTCATCATCTTTATATAAGTTTTCAAAATCATCATCATATACATAATTCTTAACTTCTTCAATATCTAAATCTTCTTCAAACTTAACATCAAATCGTCTTTCAATAAATAATTGCATATCATCAAGTTGATATTCTTTAATAGTTTTGATTATAAATTTTACTCATCCATCATAAAAATCTCCTTTTAAGTTAATAATATATCCATGGGTATAGGATTTTGATTTTAAAAATCTTCTATGAATGGCTTTTTTCTTTTCAAAACTAATTTTTAGTTTTTTACTAAAAATACATGTTCTGTAATTAAAAGTATTATCAAAAGAATCTTGAGATGTGATCACATTAAATTTTGCCACTACATTTACAAGAGGTAGTTTTTTTTAACTAATTGAGCATCTGTCTTTCTCAGTTAATTTTAAGAAATCCTCAATATCCTATGAATCAAATTTGAATTCTTGAGTATATATACATTCTTGATTATAATATTCATTAATATATTGATTATCTCTAGCTTTATTACAACTTTTATTTTCATATAATTCATTATTAAGAAGTTTAGTTAGTGCTTGTACTAATTTTTTGGTTGTTTCTGACTTTCCAGTTCCTAAATTGCTATAAAATAAAAAATTTTTGGAATAGTATTTTTTATGATGTATAAATTTAATAGGATTTTTTAATAATTTTAATCTTTTGTTATTGTTTTATATGATTTTGGGTTATCATAGTATGATAATAGTATGTCTTCAGGATTCTGTATTGCTTGGTAATAACTTATAGATTCATTATGTAATTTTGTTTTTCTATTAATATCATCAAGTCTAGCATTATTTATTTTGTTAATAACATCATCTAAACTACCAACCATAAATCTATGTTTTTCAAAAATAAATGAACCAGAATCTAATTCATCTAATTGTTCTGTTTTTCATTCTTTACAACAATTATTATTGCACAATTTACATTTGCCCAATTCATCTAATTTAAAAAAATCATATTGACAATATTTTCCTTTATTTGAGTTATAATGAATCTTGCATCATTTATATAGTTTTAATACATAATTTTCAGCATCTTGAGAAGTTTCACGTAACAGAACACCTGGAGAAAATGAGATCTTTTCATCTTTTAAAAGTTTTTTTTACACTAGACATTGTAAGTTGATAACTAAATTGTAAAAAGATATGAGCATGCAATCTTGCTTGCATTGTTTATTCAAATTTTGCAACACTTCTAGTTAATATGTTTCCAAAACTATCATATTCTTCTTGATTTCTAGAAAATGAATATTGATATTCAATTTTTTGCTCTTTACAATTTAAATAATTTATATCATTACAAAGTGCAAGTTTATAGCATTGAATATATTTTTCTCCTTTACATCTCCAATGATTTTTTTTACAAAGTAAACATTTTGGTAATTCTTCTGTTTGATCAAATTCTTGTTCAGTATTTTTCTTTTTTTTTCATCAATTCTGTTTTTCTTTAAACATTACTATTTTTTATTACAATTAATACAATGAAATGTTGTTATCATCATAAAACAAAATTTATAACTTATTTCTATGTTTTTTTTTTTGGTATTAAGGTGAGGCCTTGCTTATATCTTTATTAGTAGTTTTAAAGTTAGTAACTACATGGAGTT